ATATATTTGCATATGTACATGGCTTTATCTAGACCTCTATAAATGTCCTTTGCCTCCCAGCTCTTTCCTCTATTTCCTTTGACTTTCTTCCTGTCCCACTATCATGCTCAGTCCCACCAGGGTTTCAGCAATTCCTCTTGGTTACATTACCCTTGATCATGCCCTACCAGGCCTCCCACACCCTCCTCAGCACCGATTTGGATCACTTGTTGTTCCCTTGTTCCTGGGTTTGTTAACATGACTACCTTTCCCCCCACCACCCCCTCTCCCATGTCCCTCCGGAACTGTTGGTCCGGTTGTTTTCTCCTCCAGTTGTTCATCCAGCCTATCTTATTTAGACAGACCTGAGAAGATAATAACATGCACAAAAACAAGATAGAGCAAAACCAAGCAACAATATACAATAAACCAATGACAAAAAACCAAAACACAACAAGAAAGAAATGCTTGTTGTTAGTTCAATTGTTTGTTGGCCTTTAGGAGTGTTTTCCAGTCCAGTCTATTGGGGCACCACACCCCGGCCCCAACGTATACTTTCAGCATTCCCTGGGGACTTCACCGCTCCATTCCCTTGCTATTCTGTTGCACCCCCTTAGTGTTTTGCCTTGGTGTGGTGGGATCAGATTGGGTGCAATTCCCACACTGTGTCTCTGACGTTGTCTCCTGTAGGGGTATGGGTCAGTGAGGGGCACCATGTCTCATGGTGGGGCAGGCCATGTGGTCCTCTCTGTGGACTGGCTGCTCTAATTGGGAACATCGTCCTCTTGGCCTGGTGGGCCAGGATGTGCTCCACTCTCTCCTCCTCCCCCTTCTTCTGGTCCTGTGTGCTCTGATCAGATATGTCCCTCTCCCGGAGCTGCAGATTCAACGCCGTCCTTTGAAATAGATTCTCCTAGGGGGAGGGGCAGGTGTCCACTTAGTAGTTGGGATCGGGGCTGGCCCCCCAAAAACTGAAACACTTATGTGCATAAAAAAATTGCACCAAGAGTGCTTACTTTGGCAGCACATGTATAACAATTGGAACAATACAAAGATTAACATGGCTCCTGTGCAAAGATGACAGGAATATTTGTGAAGTATTCCATAATTTTACAAGGAAAAAATTCTAAAAGCAGTCAGAGAAAAAAGAACAGTCACATACAAAGGGGCAGCAATTAAAACAAGGTCAGATATCTCAACAGAAACCATGAAGGCAAGAAGACAATGGTGTGATGTATGTAAAGTTATGGGGAAAAAAACAACACTGTCAACCATGAATCTTTTAGCAGCAAAATTATCACTTGAATATGACAGAGAAATAAAAGTATTTCAAGACAAGGAGAAATTAAAGGAATTTACAAAAGCAAGACCACTACTACAAAAATGGAGAACTATGGCAAAAAAAATAACAGCAGTAGCACACTAATCTGAAACCAATATACCTGATGATTCCTCACAAAGCATCATTCAAAACAACGAAGAAATACAGGAAGAACAGAGAAACTAACCACACACACTCCCACACACACATAAATACAAACAATATGGGAACAGCTGTGAGGAACAGAAGAATTTCTCTTAAGTTGTCTCCCCAAAATATGTACCAGACTTAGCTGCTTGATAGTGACTGTACAATAGGTGATCAGCGAAAGTAGGTCAGAGGTTATTCTCCTTAACATCAGCCATCTATAGTGGCTAGACTATTAGTGGCTGACTCACCCTAAATAAGACCCACTCCCTTCTGATAAGGATAATGGTGGTCTGTTCACTTGCAGGAGATACCAGAGAGGGCAAACCCGCCCAAGGATGACCAAGGTTAGATAGCCATTATCAGCTGTCTAGATCACGCAGACACCACTGTTTATTCCACAACCAATGTGGGCACACCCCTAGGTGATTCCCCTCCTATTAATTGTATTGCCTATGTTAATATCCCTCCTGGTGACTCAGGTTATTGTCCACTATCAGAGAACTTGCATGCCTCCCAGAATAGTAATTGTCTGTTTTATTATATGAGACATTAGAGTGATCAAACTTGTTCTAGAATGAATTGTATTGCCCCTTTCTGTGATGTATGACTCGATGATGCGTGGTTAGCAATAAATAATGAGGCTCCCTGGTTCTCGGAAGGGTGGCTGGCCGGGGAGTGGCTGGCCGGAGGGTGGTTGGAGAAGGTGACTAAGGAGGATGAAGCAGCGGCTTCTTCTCTGACGGCTAAGCCCCCTCCACGAGGACCATCAAGCCGGGCTGAGGTGAGCTACCATGAATTGCATCTGACTCCATTACTTGACTCCATCCTTTAACTCTCATGCTCTCTATGACTTTACTATAATCTCTACTTATTATCGCTGTACAATTGCGCCTACCGAACCTGTGATGTTTTGTGGGGTTCCCTCTTCCCCTTAACCCCACAAACAGCAAACACTTACGTATCAATGATCTCACTGAACACTTAATGGACTAAATACACTAGTAAAGAGACAGAGAATAGCAGAATAGATAAGAAAATAAGACTCATCAATATGCTGAATAAGAAACATATTTAAACCTCTATAAATGTCCTTTGCCTCCTAGTTCTTTCTTCTATTTCCTTTTACTTTCCTCTTGTCCCACCATCATGTTCAGCTTTATTTGGGTTTAGTAATTCCTCCCTGATGCATTGCCCCTGATTAAGCCCCACTAGGCATCCTATGCCATTCTCTCATTGATTTTAGGTCACTTGTTATTCCCTTGACCCAGGGTTGGTTGATGCCCCACTTCCTTTCTCCCACCTCCCCTTCTCCCACGTCCCTCCGGAACTGTTGGTCCCATTGTTTTTGTCTCCGAATTGTTTATTCCACCTCTCTTATCTAGATAGACATGCAGAGATATTAATAAGCTCAAAAACCAGGCAAAGACAAACAAAACAACAAAGGAAGACCAAACCAACAAAACAACAACAACAACCAACAAAAACAAAGCCAATGACCAAAAAGGAAAAGCTTGTAAACCAGTGGTTCTCAACCTGTGGGTTTTGACCCCTTTCACAAGGGTTATCTAATACATCGTGCATATCAGATTCATAACATTACAATTCATAACCATAGCAAAATTACAGTTATGAAGTAGCAATGAAAATAATTTATGGTTGGGGGTTACCACAACATGAGGAACTGTATTAAAGGGTCATGGCATTAGGAAGGATGGGAACCACTGCTATAAATCGTTCCAGGTCTGGTTTTTTTTTTACTTTTAGGAGTGTTTTCCAGTTGTTTAGGAGTGTTTTCAAAGGACATTTATAGAGGTCTAAATACAGGCATGTACATATATAAATATGTTTATATATAACAATATGGAAATAGATCTATATGTTAGGAATTAAGGTAACAGATGGACGTTGGACCTCGATTCAAGTACTCCCTCAACACAAGAACACTATGTTCTAATAATCCAGCATTCCGGGATGCTCACCTTCCCAACACGATCGCTGAAGACAAAATGGGTGCATAAGCAAATGTGGTGCAGAAGGCTAATGGTGCCCAGCTATCAAAAGATATAGTGTCTGGGGTCAAGGCTTGAAGACAAACAAGTGACCATCTGAGAAGCAACAAAGTCCACATGTAAGAAGCACACCAGCCTTTGTGATCATGAGGTGTCGATGGGATCAGGTATCTAAGACCCAGAACAAAATCATACTCAGTGTGAATGGGGGAGTGGGGGATGGAGTGGAGACCCAATGCCCATCTGTAGGCAAGTGGACATCCCCTCAGAGTGGTCATAGCGAAAAGATGAGCCAGTCAGGGTGCAGTATCGCACCAATGAAGCACACAACTTTCTTCTAGTTCCTTAATGCTTCCTTGGCCCCACTATCATGACTTTAATTCTACCTTACAAATTGGATTAGACCAGAACATGTACGCTGCTACAAATAAGAGGCTGCAACACAGGGAATCCAGGATAGATAAACCCCTCAAGAACAACAATAAGAGTAGAAATACCAGGAGGATAAGGGGAAGGTGGGGGAAGAAAGGGGGAACCGATCACAAGGATCAACATATAACCCCCTCCCAGGGGGACAAACAACAGAAAAGTGGGTGAAGGGTGACAGAGGATGATGTAAGATATGAAAATAATAATCTATAGCTTATCAAGGGTTCGTGAGGGAAGGAGGGGAGGGGAGGGAGGGGGAAAATGAGGAGCTGATACCAAGGGCTCAAGTAGAAAGAAAATGCTTTGAAAAGGATGATGGCAACATATGTACAAATGTGCTTGACACAATGGTGAATGTATGGATTGTGATAAGAGATGTAAGGACCCCCAATAAAAGTATTTAAAAAAAAATTTAAAAGAAGAAGAAACAGACCTCAGAAACAAAGACATAAACTATCTAAAAGCCAAAGGCTGCACAAAAGCATACCAAGCAAACGGCTACAAAAAATGTAACAATGTTAATTTCTGAAAAAAAAAAAAAAGATTTTGAGACAAGAACAGATACTAAGAAGATATAACCATAACAAGCATATATGCACCAATTGGAAGACCCTCAAAATACATTAATCAAATTCTCACAGGATTGAGGAGGGATATAGACAGCTTAACAGTAATAATAGGAGACTTCAAGACTCCAGCTCTCAAGGAAAGACAGAACTTCAGAAAGAAACTCAATACTCTTGAAGACACAAAAGAATTCAAGAACACAATCGACAAGCTTGATCTCCTAGACATGTACAGTACATGCCATCCAACAAAAACTTACTATACATTCTCTCCGAAGCACATGGAGCATTCTCAAGAACAGACCACATTCTAGGCCACAAAGCATGCCATCATAAATTTGAAAAAAAAAAAAGAGAATCTACACCTATTTTCTCAGATCACAATGATAAAATAAAATACGTAAAACTCAAAACTAACAATAAAAGAACAGAAAAATAAAGACAAATACATGTAGATTGAACAATATAACACTTAAAAATGAGAAAGACCCCCCTCAACACTCTACAAAAATATGTTTTATTTTTAAAAAGATTAACACATGCTGACAAGATAATTGAGGACAAATGATCATGATTAGATGTATTTTCTTTTTTAGGATCATACATATATACTTCAGAATTCCATGCTTCCCTCTATATGGGATATGGGTTTAGAATTATTTAGAAACTATGTTACTAGTGATAAAATGGTTCAAAGTAAAACTATTGATTTATTATTCTCCCAATTGAATGAGAGAGAAATGGTAAAGCTGTGGACAGAAGTTTATTGCGAAATGGACAGAGTATGCCTTCTGACCTTCAGGTATCTAAACATTCATTTGACCTGAAATTTTTGGAAGAAACTAATTGTTTGTATACTGCAGAGTCCAAAAATTAATGCAAGAAAGAGTAGTTGCAAACTATCTTAACCATGTAAACAACATTTAAAATAGGGAGACTGAATATTCATATATTTAACCACAGAACACAAAAACCACTCATTGCCTGAAGGAGAAACAGCTATTCAGAGAACATTAATCCTCTGGAAAGGGTTTGATAACTTATTGATGAGCCTAGAATCCCTGACCTCACACACATTTCACACTCACTTGTTCAATCAGGTAACAGGTGGTCAGCAGATAGTACTATAGCACTGGAGTTAGTACGTTAAAATATTTGGAAGAACAATTGTTATCAATTCTGAAAAAGATACAGTACAAGACCCACTTCATTTTACAGATAAAGTGGACCACATTATAGAAGTGTGCTTTCAGGAAAATGAAATGCTTATCAATTTGATGAAGGAATCCTTTGAAATATTTATCTAGGACCAAGTGAGCCTGCATAATTAATTGCAAAGTATGTTGATTCAAAGTGGGTAATAACAAAGCAACAAATGAAGAACTAAAACAAATCCTTGACAAAATGATGGTAATATTACCATGTTTATTAATGGTAACGATGTCTTTGAAGCATTTTTATAAAAAGAATTTGGCAAAAAACTCCTTGTTGAAAAAAAAAACAAAAACAAAAAAAAACTCCTTGTTGAGGAAAGTGCCTCAGTGGATGCTGAAAAATCTTTGTTGTCAAAATGAAAACACAATCTGGTGCTGCTTTTCCAGCAAACTGGAAGGTATGTTCAAGGACATGGAATTTTC